CTCTGTCTCAAAAAAAAAAAAAAAAGAAACTTAGAAAAATTAATATATCTCATTAGTGGCAAAAATAAGATTAGAAAATTGATTTGCCCCTCTGTTGAAATAGTTCCCCATAAATATCTTTAAAGCCAAACAGAATGAATATGTCTATACAAATTTGATTGACTGAAAGTCCTTAAAAGTAGTAAAGTTTCATAAAGTTACTGTTAGGCCTCTATTTACTATTTATGTCTCTATTTCATGTAGTTAACTGGCATATGGATCATCATTAATCTGAAAGAACAATGTTTCCCTATGCTCTTTTAAAATGTATTCTGCCTAGATTTTAGTCCATGGAGAACAGAATGAAATGGCCAGATTAAAAGCAGCACTGATTCGAGAATATGAAGATAATGATGAAGTTCACATAGAGGTTCATAATCCTCGGAATACAGAAGCAGTGACCTTAAACTTCAGAGGAGAAAAACTAGCCAAGGTAAAAGGTCATGGTTCATATCTATACTCTCTATGTGGTCTTCAGGGAAGAGTATACTTTTAAAGAACATGTACCTACTTTAATTAAGAGAATGTACTTATTTCTGTCTACTTAGAAGAATTTTATCCTTAATCTTTTTAGGCTTCTTCAAATGGAAAATTTTCAGATAAATTACATCTTAATGCATTTGAATCTGATAGCTCTTTAATTCACATCTTCAGTTACTTTTCATTCCCTATTTGTCTGAGAGTAAACAAATGTTAATTACTATTTGTACTATAGCCAATACAGTGCTGTGTCGATTTCTCATCATTACCCCTAACGATATAAAGATAGGTCTATACAGGTAGTCTGCGAGCTACAAACATCTGACTTATGTCCAACTCAACACTTAGATTGGAGGCTGTTAAAGTCCCCAAGTTACAAATATCTGACCTGTGTAGACTCAAACTTAATAAATGTAGGCTATTATAAGTAATAGGTAAATGTGCCTGTTTCACGTTACATACAAATTCACCATAAGAACAAAGCTACAGAACCTATCTTGTTTGTTACCCAGGGACTGCCTGATACTCTAAACATATATGTTTGTGTGGATATGACAGAATATATAAAAAATTGTCTTTTTAAAAATTAATCATTTTTGGCCAGGTAGGTGGCTCTCACCTATAATTCCAGTACTTTGGGAGGCCGAGGTGGGAGGATCACTTGAGGCCAGGTGTTTGAAACCAGCCAGAACAACATAGCAAAACCTTATCTCTACAAAAAATAAGAAAAAATTAGCCATGTGTAGTGGTGCATACCTATAGTCCCAGCTACTTGGGAGGCTGAGGTAGTAGATTTGCTTGAGCCCAGGAGTTCAAGGCTGCAGTAGCTATCTGTGATCACACCACTGCACTCTGGGTGGCAGAGTGAGACTCAGTCTCAGAAACATTCAAAACTAATCATTCTTGATGGTGAAATATAATATTTTCAGAATTTAAAATTGAAATAAGAAAAACTTTACCTGGAATTATAGAGCAGTGGTTGAAGAAGTCTGCATTTTTTTTTTTTAGGAGAAGGAAAGAAATTTTTTAATTTGCTGGCAAATGAGGCTGGGATCAAAAATCTTTTTAAGATATCTCTAAGGGAAACTTTTCAATGCAATCATAAATATTTGAAGTATTAAATGTCATACATGTGTTAATGAACAGTTTTACAACATTCTTTTAATACGTAATAAGCCAGACATGAAGAAGCTAATTGACAAATATCCTTTCTTGCAGTTTAATTTGAGGAAAAAAACAAATTAGCACAACATAGGATATGAGGCTTTGTAGCTAAAGAAAATAACTGATTATATTTATTTCCGAATCTTAACTGTGTATAAAACTTTTCAGCAGCAAATTTAATGGTATTTTTTTATACCTATAGGAAAATATATTCAGTTGAGAATGTAGAACTACATTTTCCGAATTCTGCTGGTTAAGATGTGGTGAGAAAAAAATGTTTAGGAGAAGCTGAATTGAACTGAGCATAGTTGAAGCTGGATCTGGGTTTTAGCCATAATATTAGTTATTTAAAATCATTAGCTTTATTAGTTATTTTTCTCCTCAAGAACTGCATTGCTGCATTAAAATCAGTTTTCTAAGAGCAAAGCACACGGCTTTCAAGTTTGAATCAGGAAGAAATATAAACTGAACAGACCGATATTGAATAGCAAGATTGAATCAGTAATAAAACCTCCCCTCCAACAGAAAAAAGCTCAAGACCAAGTATATGCACAGCCAGATTCTGAGGGGCTTGTTGCTTCCGCCCGCACCTCCCATCCTTCCCCACTGCTGGCAGCTCTTGTTTTCTTAACCTCCACATTTAGTAGGTTTCCTTGCTTGTTGAACAATTGGACTGAACTGAACCTAACCATTTTGGCTGGATTTGTCTCTGTTACTCTTTTGATATCTTGGTAGCAATGTTACTGCTCTGGTAATAGATGGATAAAACATTTTCTATATTTCGTAGTTAAGTTCACCTGGTGTTTCCATAGTTCAGATGTTAAATGGTTACTACTATTATTAACTGCATTTTAATGCTTGAATTAGGAACTGTATTTTACAGAATTCTGTTTTCTTCAACTTTCTTGGTTTTTTTTTTTTTAATAGGTTATGGGCTTTTTAGCAGACAAAAAACCTGAACAAGGCCAACGAGTCTCAGGAATTCTTGTTAAAAGAAACTTTAATTATCATATACTTTCTCCTTGTGACCTGTCCAGTAAGTATACTATTATGTGTCAATCATCATCTTGACAGAAAAAGAAATTCTATGAAAACTTCTTCACTTAACCTAGTGGCGAAATTTTAAGTAACAAATAATAAAACAGGAATAGGTGAGAGGTAGGATTCTAATTGCTTTGTGGTGTGAAACATTTAAGAACACAGTGTCCTTCTCAATCAGGTTGAGGACTGTTGCTGACCTTCCCGCTGCCCTGTTTTCTACCCTTTAAAACAGTATTGGTGCTTTTATTTTCTGAAGTCACATTGGAGTCCTCAGATAAGCATTTTGTTCTTTATTACCTATAGTTTTATATCATTTGCTGGGGCTTCCAAAAGGAGTAGGAGGAAAAACTTGATAACTTCTTTAAAAGTGAAAAATTATAGGCCAGGAGTAGTGGCTCATGCCTGTAATCCCAGCACTTGGGAGGTCGAGGCAGGTGGATTTCCTGAGTTCACAGTTTGAGACCAGCCTGAGCCAGAGTGAGATCTCGTCTCTAAAAATAGTTAGGCATTGTGGTGGGCACCCATAGTCCCAGCTCCTTGGGAGACTGAGGCAAGAGAATCACTTGAACGCAAGAGTTTGAGGTTGCTGTGAGCTATGACACCATGGCACTCTACAGAAAGTGACAAAGTGAGACTCTCAAAAAAAAAAAAAAAATGGAGATAAGTGGGAAAATGTGGATGGTACCAAATTAAGGAGCATCTTGTTAGCTTTCTAAAGAAACATGTTCTTGGCTCGGCACCTGTGGCTCAAGCAGCTAAGGTGCCAGCCACATACACCTAAGGTGGCGGGTTCAAATCCCCAGCCCGGGCCCGCCAAACAACAATGATGGCTGCAACCAAAAAATGGCCAGGCATTGTGGCGGGCGCCTGTAGTCCCAGCTACTTGGGAGGCTGAGGCAGGAGACTCGCTTGAGCCCAGGAGTTGGAGGTTGCTGTGAGCGTGATGCCATGGCACTCTACCCAGGGGGATAGCTTGAGGCTCCGTCTCAAAAAAAAAAAAAGAAACATGTTCTTGTTTACCTTGCTTTTATTCTTTTTTCACTCCTGGTATATGTTTGCTTGTTGTATTTTGTGGGGACTAGTATTGTTTCCTTAACTGTATTCTGATTTTCTCTTCAGATTATACTGACTTAGCCATGAGCACTGTGAAACAGACCCAAGCCATTCCATATACTGGTCCCTTTAATTTGCTCTATTACCAGCTACAGAAATTGACAGGTATGTATATGTATTGAAATTGCTTTAATTGTTTTCTGTTTTTAGTAAGATAATTTTATATCTAAGAAAAAATGTTACTGAATCCTGGTAATTGTCTCAGAATTGTACAAATTTTGTTTATATACATGGTCATGTTTTTATTGCCTTTAGGTGAAATTTTTGAAAGTATACATTTTTTAAAAATTCTATTATACTTCTTACCTTGATCCACTTAAAATTCTAATAATATCAGTAATCTTTGCTCCTTGTGTTTAAAATCTGTTTCCTTTAGGCCAGGCACTGTGGCTCACATCTATAATCCTAGCATTCTGGGAATACATGGTAGGAGGATGCCTTGAACTCAGAAGTTTGAGAACAGCCTGAGCAAGAGTGAGACCCTGTCTCTACTAAAAATTAACCACGTGTTGTGGCGAGTACTTATAGTCCCAACTACTTGGGAAGCAGATACTTATAATTCTAGCTACTTGGGGAGCTGAGGCAAGAAGATTGCTTGAACCCTAGAGTTTAAGGTTGCTGTGAGTTATGACACCACAGCACTCTACCCCAGGACAACAGAACAAGACTCTGTCTCAAAAATAAATGAATAAATAAATAAAATCTGTTTTACTTGACTGTACGTGAAATTTTATTTTATCAGTGAAAATAATTTTCTAGTTCCATCAGTACCAATCTATACAGGTTTTACTATAGCTCATAACCACTGGCCAAATGCCACTGAGAATAAACCTATTCTGTTTTCATATTAGAGCATTTTGAATTGGAGATTTTTGTGTATTAAAATGATGAGGAGCAATGACTAAATTAAAAGGTGTGGATTTTCTCTAATAAAGGAAGAGTATTTCATATTATCAAATACTCTTTCAATCAGCATGATTTTTATAATTCAAATAGTAAAGTACTAGTGTAAAATTAACCAGTGGAAACAAAATTTTTGACCTCATAACCACATGTTAGAATTATAGGTCATAACATAGGTAGTTAATAAAAGGTGACTAAACTAATTCTTGATCAGGAGGACACTGGAAAGCAGATAGCCAGGTGCAGTGGCTCCTGTCTATAATCCCAGCTTCTCTGAAGGCTGAAGCAAGAGCAGCACTTTAGGGCGGCACCTATGGCTCAGCGAGTAGGGTGCCGGCCCCATATACCGAGGGTGGCGGGTTCTAAACCCGGCCCCGGCCTAACTGCAACCAAAAAATAGTCAGGCGTTGTAGTGGGTGCCTGTAGTCCCAGCTACTGGGGAGGCTGAGGCAAGAGAATCATTTAAGCCCAGGAGTTGGAGGTTGCTGTGAGCTGTGCGATGCCACGGCACTCTACCAAGGGCAGTAAAGTGAGACTCTGTCTCTACAAAAAAAAAAAGAGCCCTTTAAGCCAGGAGTTGTAGAACGGCCTGGCCAACTACACAGTGACCCTGTCTCTTTAAAAACAAAACACAAAGGAGGACCCTAGGAAGACTAGAAAAGTCTCTTCTTCAACAACAGAATTTCCCTGCATGAAGACAGAAGGCAGAAGAAACTAGTTGGCAGTGGATGACTAGTCTCACATTAAATGTTAAATGCTATTGGAAGGCTACAAACATAGGTGTTTGAACATCATCTAAGTTTACTACTAATAAAATATTTATTTACTTATTTTTTATTTATTTATTTTTTTTTGAGACAGAGTCTCACTTTGTTGCCCTCAGTAGACTGCCGTGGCATCACGCAGCTCACAGCAACCTCCAACTCCTGGGCTTAGGCGAGTCTCTTGCCTCAGCTTCCCGAGTAGCTAGAACTACAGGCGCCTGCCACACGCCCGGCTGGTTTTTTTTTTTTTTTATTTTTGGGTTGCAGTTTGGCTGGGGCCGGGTTTGAACCTGCCACCTTTGGTATATGGAGCCGGCTCTGCCCTAATAAAATATTTAATGTCCAAGGTAAATCTTAACCAAGTTATACTAATTTTTATAATAAACATTGAGCTCTTTTCAGTTTCTATAAGCAATTAACATCAAACTTAGTTGTTTAGAAATTGAGTACAGATGTTATTTATTTTTCATCATATATATGCTTTATTTCCACTGTTTCTATAAACAAATGAATAATTATGCCTCTGGAAGATTATCAGAAAATTATATACTTCTTGTAATTCTTTCTTTTTTTTTTTTCAGGTGATGTAGAAGAATTAGAAATTCAAGAAAAACCTGCTCTGAAAGTGTTCAAAAATATTACTGTAATACAAGAACCAGGCATGGTGGTATTAGAAGTAAGATAAGATCATTTACCTAAACAAGGCAGAAAAAAGTTTTAAAATGTTTACATGCAATTATAGAGAAAATTCATTTCTTCCCAATTAGGGAAAAAGCATCATTGACATATATTTATGTAAATAATTTTTCTTTCTAAAATCAGCATTATATATAATATAGCTGGGCATTCTCTATGTAGTTAACGCAGAAAGCGGTAAGTTAAGGCTTAATATTTACTAGATGTGGTAAGAATATATCTCAAATGAGTAAGTCTCAGCTGATTTTGTGGCACTCCAGGATATTGTCAGTTATATCAAAAGATCTTAAAATTCTCAGAAAAAAAATTTAATTCTTTTAAAACTAACTTATCTTGTAACAGTGGTTATCTTAAAACAGAGGTTCTCAACCTGTGGGTCGCAACCCCTTTTTAACAATGAAAATACATTGCAGCATTAGGAAAGTTGAGAACCACTGCCTTAAAAGATTAGAATTTTGAAAATTCACGTAAACAGCAATAATGTGACCCAAATCCAAGAAGGCTAGAAATTATTAGATTAGATACATGTGGTTCCTACCATTAGAATTTTAAATTCCTACTAGTAGAATTTGGAAGATAAACATCAAAGGAATTGCATGGTTTACTTTGATGGATTGGCACCTATTAAGTTTAAAGAACTTTTAAGGTGGGTCCTGGTGGTGGTGAATAATCCAGGGGTGCACATGGTCTGTTTCTCTACCTCAAAGTAGAATTCCAAGGCGTATGATTAGCTATATTTTAAGATAGAAAAAGATCCGTCAGCTCTCATCCCACTAGAATTCTGTGATTTAGGTAAGTAAATTTTTTTTTTTTTTTGAGGCAAAGTCTCACTATGTCGCCCTGGGTAGAGTGCCATGGTGTCACAGCTCACAGCAACCTCCAACTCTTGGGCTTAAGTGATTCTCTTGCCTCAGCCTCCCAAGTAGCTGGGACTACAGGTACCTGGCGCAATGCCTGGCTATTTTTTGTAGCAGTTGTCATTGTTGATTTTAGCTGGCCCAGGCCGAGTTTGAACACACCAGCCTTGGTGCATGTGGCCAGTGCCCTGCTGACTGAGCTATGGGTGCCTCCTAGGTAAGTCTAAACTTTATGCTTAAGGCTAACAACTAAAAATGTCAAACAGTTACGTGTAATCAGAGTTACATATAATAATATAACAAAGTTACATACAATAATATATAAAATGTTAACATAGTATATAACATGTTAACTGTAGTCAGCAGCTAGGGCACCAGCCACGCACACCAGAGCTGGCGAGTTCGAATCCAACCCAGGCCCACCAAACAACAATGACAACTACAACCAAAAGAAAAAAAAATAGCTGGGTATTGTGGCAGGCACCTGTAGTCCCATCTACTTGGGAGGCTGAGGCAAGAGAATCACTTAAGCCCAAGAATTGGAGGTTGCTGTGAGCCATGACACAACGACACTCTACCCAGGGTGACAGCTTGAGATTCTGTCTCAAAAAAAAAAGGGGGTGAGGGTGGGGGGGACATTAATTTAGCTGTTGCTACCAAATACTATTAGAGAATTTAGTTTTGTTTCTAGAGTGAACATATCAGAGATGAACTTAGAAGTACTCTTTGTGGAAATAATAAAAGATAGAGAGGGCATTACTCCTGAAATAATTCAACTGCTCTCACCCACCCCAGAGACAAGGAGAACGTTATTGGAGCACTGGGCACAAGAAAGAGTATCAGGAGACGTTAGGCTTAGTGTGAAAAGCAAAAGTAAATGTTTAAAATACCCTCTTACTGTACTGTTGTGCTACTAAAATATAGTGGTTAGGAATTTGTGTTTGAATCCCAGCACCAATAATTATCTTGTGCATGTTACTTTTGAGTCAGTTATTCTTTTATAACAAAGTTTTTTAATGGTGTTCTTTTTTGTTGGGGTTTTTTGTTTTTTGTTTTTTTGCAGTTTTTGGCTAGGGCCGGGCTTGAACCCACCACTTCTGGTATATGGGGTCGGCACCCTGCTCCTTTGAGCCACAGGCTCCGCCCTAGTTGTTAATTTTTATGAGAATTAAGTGATAATACATATGAAACACTTTGCCACAAAGGATTTGTTTAGTACATTTTACTTTTGTTATTAAAAGAAAATTAGGAGGAGGCCAGGCACAGTGGCTCATGTACTCTGGGAGGCCAAGGCAGGGGGATCCCTTGAGCTCAGAAGTTTGAGACCAACCTGAGCGAGCAAGACCACGTCTCTAGTAAAAAAAATAGAAAAATTATCTGGGCATCATGGTGGTACCTATAGTCTCAGCTACTCGGGAGGCTGAGGCAGAAGAATCACATGAACCCAGGAGTTCCAGGTTGCTGTGAGCGAGGCTGAGGCCACAGTACTCCTGGGGCAACAGAGTGAGATTTTGTCCCCAAAAAAAGAAAGACAATTAGAAGAGCATAGCATTATTAATTTTAGTAAACAATGAGTAAGTTAATTTCAGTGAAAGTGCTAGAAGCATTCCCATATGTATATGCCACAGAGGGGAGAAAATTCAGAGCTTTTTGTGGTTGGTCATAGTTGCACCTTCCTAATTCTGCCTTTTGCTTTCCAGTGGTTGGCAAACCCTTCTAATGATATGTATGCAGATACAGTAACAACTGTGATATTGGAAGTACAGTCAAATCCAAAAATAAGGAAAGGTACAGAATTTTTTCATTGTTATCAATTATTTATTTTATTTCTTCCATGTTTCCCTGAAGTAAAAAGCAGTAATTAGAGTCCTAAAGAATTTAATCTCCTGATTTTTCCATTCCTATTTAATCTTTAAGATATATGCATAGCAATTCATATTATTGGTATTTTACTTACTTTTGGTCCTAGCTTCTGAATTTATACTGTAAAAATCTGGTTGCGATTAACACAAAATAAACATCCCGTTAGAAGCAGTCCTGATAGACATGTTGGTTGTTAAACACTTTATCAGAAATTCTGAAGTACTGCTGAAATGAGTCAGCATCTTTTTTAGGAAGCTATGCTGCTCCGTTTGTGTTTAGTAAAACTGGTTAAATAAAATGGAGTCTCCTTGTGGGACAGTTTTCAACCAAAGAAAACCCAGTGTTTTTTCTTATCTTAAGTGATGAGAATAAAGGTACAGGTGTAGGAGTGGGTGGGAAGGAAGACCTTTTATAACAGTCTATAGTATATAGGGCAGCGCCTGTGGTTCAAAGGAGTAGGGCGCCGGCCCCATATACCGGAGGTGGCGAGTTCAAACCTGGCCCTAGCCAAAAACTGCCCCCCAAAAAGTCATAAGGACCAGGCACAGTGGCTTATGCTTATAATCCTAGCACTTTTGGAGGCCAAGGTGGGTGGATTGCTTGAGCTCACAGGTTTGACACCAGCCTGAGCAAGAACGAGACTGCGTCTCTAAAAATAGCCAGGCGTTGTGGCAGGCACCTGTAGTCCCAGCTACTCAGGAGGCTAAGGCAAGAGAATTGCTTGAGCCTACGAGTTTGAGGTTGCTGTGAGCTATGACACTACAGCACTCTACTGAGGGCAGCAAAGTAAGACTCTGTCTCAATAAATAAATAGATAAATAAATAAGTCATAAGTAAACAAACGTTAGTAACAGTGAAGTGAGGACGAGGGTTTGGTGTGGAGAGCAGAAATGAGAAGCCAGCACTATTTCCTGATGGGTTAGCTATAGGGGGGAGAGAATAGGCAGGATGAATTTTAAAGATTAAGATGACAGGCTCGGCGCCTGTGGCTCAAGCAGCTGAGGCGCAGCCACATACACCTAAGGTGGCGGGTTCGAATCCCCAGCCCGGGCCCGCCAAACAACAATGATGGCTGCAACCAAAAAATGGCCAGGCGTTGTGGCGGGCGCCTGTAGTCCCAGCTACTTGGGAGGCTGAGGCAGGAGACTCGCTTGAGCCCAGGAGTTGGAGGTTGCTGTGAGCGTGATACCATGGCACTCTACCCAGGGGGACAGCTTGAGGCTCCGTCTCAAAAAAAAAAAAAAAAGATGACAATCCAAGGTGTGTATGTGATATGTTAACATAGAAGGTTGCACCCATGAGGCGAAGGGACAGATTTTATAAGTAACACCTTCTCCTTTCTAAGATGGCAAGTAACACAAGGACTGATACACATGATACTTAGGTTGCACATACTCTGTATGTATATGATGTAATGAATTGACCCCATCAATCCATTGGGGGTTTAAGTTAGAACAGGGTCAGCAACTGTGGCCCATGAACCAAATCCAGCCCCCATAATCTCCCTGTCTCCCAGTGCTATTTTTGTGCTACAGCAGAGTTGAGTAAGTAGTTGGGAAAGAGACTGTGCAGTCCTCAAAGCCTAAAACACTATCTGACAGCAAGTTTGCCAGCCCTACTCTAGAGGCACTTCCCGGGAAAAAAGCCTGATATTTGATAGCGTCTTTCTCAGCCCCTAAGATTCTGGAAGCACATCTTGTGTCTGTCCGTCTATATGTGTTAGCTTCCATGTATGTCCCCCATTCTCCCAGAGATGCACAAGAGAAAAAAAGCTTATCTTTGCATCTTCAAAATGTATTCTGTATGTTTTTGTATTCTACCACAGTCTTCCATTTTATGTTACACCTGTTTTTAGTTTGTGTCCTGTTTTGACACACACAACTACTAAAGGGTAGGTGATTGTATATTTCCCACTTAGTATATTCCCAGGTGTCTCAGGAGTGAATCTGAATTTAGTGAGGAATATGCAAATACATGTGTGCATGCACTTTGGAACATTTCTTTCAGTAGACAATTTCGTAGCCTTTTTTTTTTTTTTTTGAGACACAGTCTCACTTTGTCTCAGCTCACAGCAACCTCAAACTCTTGGGCTTATGCAATTCTCTTGCCTCAGCCTCCCAGTAGCTGGGACTACAGACACCCACCACAACGCCCGTCTATTTTTTTGTTGCAGTTGTCATTGTTTAGCAAGCCCAGGCCAGGTTCATACCTGCCAGCCTTGGTCCATGTGGCTGGTACTGTAACCACTGTGCTATGGGCACCGAGCCAGCTTATTTATTTTTTAATGTATTTTGTGAGATTGCTTTTACATAAGTAATTGTCAGTAATACTTATTAGTGATAGAATTAATAATATTAACAATGGAATTAATAATTATAGTTATATAAGTATAAAGATTTTATTATATGCCTTTCTTGGCTGTCATCTAGTTAATTGTATATACAATTCAAATTAATGAATGAAAAACAATTAGATGAACTATGGTCTGAATTATAAAATAGTTCAGGAGAAATGAGAGTTTAACTCTTCCAGAGAGTAGATTTAAATACGTATGTGTGAGTATTGGGGACGATTAATAAAGCTACGCTTATCAAAAAATTTAATAGTGGCTCGGCGCCTGTGGCTTAAAGTGGCTAAGGCGCCAGCCACGTACACCCAAGGTGGCAGGTTCGAATCCAGCCTGGGCCCACCAAACAACAATGATGGCTGCAACCAAAAAATAGCCAGGCGTTGTGGCGGGTGCCTGTGGTCCCAGCTACTTGGGAGGCTGAGGCAG